AACGGGGTGAGCGGGGTGCCGGTGTGCGCGTCCATGGGTGGGTGGCAGGGCGCCGGCGCCGGCGCGCGCGGGGCGTAGGAGGAGGAGAGGAGAGAGTGCGGCGCGAGCGCTCGAGTGTGCCGCGCGCTGTAGCGGGCGCCCGAAATACACCGCGCGGGACAGTGTTTTCGACCGCGCGCCCAACTCATTATAGCGCGTGTGTCGTTTTTGCGCGCCCGCTGAAGCGACCTGCCGCGTTGCGCGCGCGCTAAAACAGACTAATTTGCGGCGCGGCGCTAGTTTAGCGCGACTGTTGGAGATGCTCTAAGATCCGGTTGGCCTTTCACATCGCTTCTTGCGAATTCCTAATCTCTCAGGGCTATCTATTTTCACAAGCTTTGATATTGGCAGGTTTTGGCGTGTGCAATTCGCCGACAAATAGGAGGTCACAGTTCTTTGGATAGCTTCCCGCGTGGCCGATTTTCTTTTTCAAAAAAAAGGAACAAAAAATTGCTTCGAAAGGGCCGGAGGGCGAAAATTTATGAGCCCAGCCCAACCATTCCATAGAGTAGGGATAACAGTGTATTTAGCCCAAAAGGCCTCAAATCGTGCAAGAACTTTATCCAATAAAAAGATCCTGCGAAAATCACCACTGCTCGTCTGTGCTGCCGGTAGGCGCCACGCCACCGTCGCCATGGCCGCCCCCGTCTCCACTTCCCTCTTGCCTCTCGCGAGGAGCGCACGTGAGTCTCTTAGTTTCAGTTAAATCTCTCCTGAACCTTATCCTGCGGCAACCGATAAACCGATTTCTCTCTTTTTTACCCCCTTTTATCTGCCTGTTGGTTTCTGAATCTCCAGCTTCTTTCACTGGTCCGCACTACAAGAATAAGAGAAAGATTCCGATGGTGCGGGTCTTCTGTGCTGCCGACGACGACGGTTAGTCTAGTGATGACAGATTGAGAAATCTGAATGCATTTCTTTTTCCTTTATTTTCCCTAGAACCAATACTTATATATTAGTTTATATTTGTTTCCCAAGTATTGGACTGTTCAACACAGTTATTTCATCTTTATGTGGGTGAGTTTCTTTTGTCTGTTTTTTGTGCAAGAGAACTCTCGGAAGCTCATGAATCAGTGGTTTCAACTCGCATGCTGTAAAAACTCATTAGACGTACGCCACTATGCAATACTTTATGCGCTCTTGTAAACATGAATTTAGGACAAGGAGCAGGAACTGGCTTAAGTAAGACATTACGAGTTTACGGCATCATGCATTGAGCGTTGTTTTGATCGAACATGGAGCTGTGTTTTCCCTGTGCTGATTTACAGAAGTAACAAACTGACCCCCTTTTCTAAAATCTGTGCATGTTATGATTCCGAGAAGAGGAAGTCAACGATTTGGGAGTCAACGTGGCACTATCGATGCTAAAATTCTACAAAAGTAACTTCTTATTTGCAGTTTGTTACCGCTTCATTTCTGATTGTCTTTTGGACATTTGTGTTGTCATAGACCATGCTTTTAAGACCGACTTTTATCTATACATGGCCTGCTCACTGGCTCATGCTTTATGTGAACAGGAGAGATATCACCCTTGCTGCCTTCTAGCTGCCGTTATGTGCCAACATGCAGCGAGTACTCTATGCAGGCGTACAAAAGATATGGTGTTGCGAAGGGTACAATCTTGACAGCATGGCGTCTGTGCCGTTGTAATCCTCTTGGTACGTGCTCTTTCTTTTTGCTACACATTTCCAGTTCTGCATCATATCATGTTTATGGAACATGAGCGCTTTGTTTTCTGATACAAGCGTAGGTGGACAGGGATATGATCCTCCCAGGTGGTTTGGGGAGGGAGAGTTACCTGAGGAATGATGGCTGGTAATTACTAGAAACACTGCACATGTGCGTGCTAGACTGTGCTCTGCACATAGTTAAATAAGCAATATAAGCAGTGCCTCAGTTGTATTACATCTTTCCATTTTTCTCTTTTTCAGCTCGCTTGATTTTTATTGTTTATTACGATGGAACTAGATGATTGTACTAGAGACATTTATTTGTTGCTTATCAAGAATTTAACCTAGGTTGTTTAAATGATGATTCGCTTGCACGAGCTTCCACTATCATAGGCCACCATTTTCTAGCTTCGTTCTTCTGCAGACTAGTTTCAAAGACCCGACTGGCTTTTGCTGTTTTCTTAACTGTGCACAACCTGTCAATATAACATAGTCGATGCATGGAGATCCAAAATTTCCTCGTTTGGAGTCGGATGAAGAATGAACATTGACATATTCTTGAACATGAAGACATCTAAAAAAAAATCTGAACTACCACGCGAAAAATTGAATGTACAATGTAGTAAATTTATAATGGGGGAGTGCAAGAAGGATCCTTTTCATGCACTGTAAGTATCTATGAAGTGCAATTTAAATCTCTCTTAGCGTGGGGGGCATGTGCAGCTCACTTCTTACTGTCTTCCATTTCAGCATTTGCCTGGTCCACGTATCTGATCTCCTGGCTACCATATCCTTGAATACGGTGTTTTGTTGTTTTTTCCTGTTGCAACTTAGTGTATCATATTTGTTAATGCCCCTTGAAATATTTTGATGGTATACTATATTGATTTGGACACTTGTGTACCCATTCAGCCTAATGTCTGTTTCATTGGCCAAACTTGTTTCTCTTGGTATTTTTCAGCATTGTTGGCACTGATATTTGATTTCCCATGTTGATCTTTTCTTATCTCCCTCTTTTTTATTTCAGATGTTGGAATGCCTCACAAGATATCATCTCATCGCAACTTCATAAAGGAGTGTCAGGACCCAAATGTCTCTGTCTGAAGATCCGATCGCTGCATACGGGATTCAGTTAATTCAAACCCGTTCTAACAGGCGGGAAACGCCAGAAGCCACACATCTTCGATCGCACGGCCGAGACGACGTCGTACCGTTTCGCCAGTTATGATGACCCGTCGAGCGTCCGATCTCCATCGTGTGACGGGGATTGCTCTGGAGGTCGCTGTTCCCTTTCCGGCAAGGACCGCAGCGCCCCTCTCTTTCTTTTTGCTTTTGCTCTTCTTTTCCTTCCCTTTGTAAGGCTATAAAGCCAGGAGTTGGGATCGAGGGTAGGTATCTATCTTGTTGTTAGGGTTTCCCCCTTGCCGCCGCCAGTGTTCCTGGTTGGCAAGAACCTCTGTAACGAGCTAGACTCGCATAATCATTCCTCTGAAATCAAGCTAAATTCGACTGGTTCTGTTCTTGTCTTTCTGAATTTCGTTCTTCAGACCACCCGGGTCTGACAAGTGGTAATCAGAGCAAGGTTCATCTCCTTGGCGACGCGAGATCTGGTGCCGAAGTGGAGTTGGAGGCGCCGTAAAATCCTTCACTTCTCACCGGACAAACTTGGCGGCGGTGTAGCTGACGGTGGCGTTGGCGGCGGCGAATAGCTCGGTACAGGTTTGGTGCTGGGGCGTGGTTGCGGGAACACACTGTTTCAGCAGTAAAATCCCACCTCCCACCCAGATCCGGTGTACTTCCGGCGGCGCGGCGACGGCGGCGGTGCAGGCGGCGGCAGGATCTACGGTCAAGGTCGGGTTGCAGCAAGTGTTGTGGTAAAATTCCTCCCTTCGCCTGACGATCTCTTGCAGTGAGGTTACTTGGCTCCCTGCCAATTGTAAAAACCCTCTCTGCATCACTCCATCAAGATGACTGGCCCGACAGATTCGTCCTCAACCAGCAATCTGGAGATGCAGTCCTTACAACTTGATGTCCAAACACTGCAGAGAAATCGAGAGCAGGACAGACAGGAATTTGAGGATTTCAGGGACCATGTGCAAGACAATTTTCAATCCATGCAGAAGACTCTGGGAGAATTACAGGGCACACTTAACAAGTTTATCTTTGGTTTTCCCAAGCCACGAGAAACCCCACCCATTCCCCAAGATATCCCTCAAGGCAGTGGCCAAAATCATACACCGCAAGGCCCAGTGCCTCGGCCAGTCGATGGCCTCCAAACCCCTCCTATTGCAGGCTCTGTAACCTTGGTGGATAAGCACACTGGAAAAGAACTTAACTTGGATGGCAGCACCAAAATTCCTTACAGGCACCCCCACTTTGCTGACAACAAACTTCCTCCACTAGATGCCAGAGCAACTACTGCAATTCCTCAAACAGGAAACATGCAACAAATCATTCACTTAGAACAAGAGCAAGGTGAGGAGCAGGCTCAGTAACTAACTGGCAGAGGGGGCAATGCACAGAGAGACCAAGTCCAAGACAACAGAAGACCTCTGACTCTGGTGAAACCTGCTAAATATAACATACCAGAGTTTGATGGCAGTGGAACTGACTCTTGGATACAAACCATTGAAATGTACTTTGAGGCTGCTAGGACACCATTGGAGCAGAAAACTGAAATTGCTGTCACTTACCTCAAAGGGCCAGCAATAGAGTGGTGGAGAGGAACTGGAATTATTGCCAATACCTTACCCTGGTACAGGTTCTGTAGACTGATTGGAGACAGGTTTTCAGAAACTTCAGTATGTGACAATGTCAGAACTTTTCATGCCCTCAACCAAACTGGGTCTGTTAATGACTATGTTCTCAAGTTTGAACAATCCATGAACTTACTCAGGAGGGACAACCCTGCACTACCTGCTGATTATTACAAAGCTAGTTTCATCGCTGGCCTGAGTGACTCTATCCAACATTATGTTCAATGTCATGAACCAGCAGACCTACAAAAAGCCATATGGTTGGCCAGAAGAATGGAACAAGCTCAGCCCAGCAAGAAAACACCAGTGGCTTATATTAATCAGCCAGTTAGGAGGCAGGTTCAGTTTGACCCAGGAAAGCCCCCTCCTAACAACACACCTACTGTCATCCAACAGGCCAGAATGAAAGGGATCTGCTACAAGTGCAAAGAACCATGGTTTCCTGGCCACAAGAAAGTTTGCAAATTGGTAAATCAAATGCAGATACAAGCCTTGCAAGAGACCTGCCCTGAGGATGCAGAATTGGTCTACTACACGGCTGATGATACTGAAGCTCCACCTCTCACTGACTTGGATGACACCCCCTTGCAAATCTCTATGCATGCCCTCATGGGAGTTACTTCCTCCAAGCTGAGTTTCACTGTGACAGTCATGTTGGGAGACAAACCCGCAACTGCCCTCATTGATAGCGGCAGCACTGCAACATTTGTAACTCCTGCACTAGCAAAGTTGGCTCTGTGTGCCCTCACACCAACTAAGAAAAAGAAAGTGTTAGTGGCCAATGGAGCAACTTTATGGACTGAATTCATTGCTCTCCAATGCCCTTTTGTGGTGCAAGGAACTGAATTTTCCCATGATTTCAGAGTCCTACAGTTACAAGGTTATGATGTGATACTGGGAGCTGATTGGATGAAAATTGTTAGTCCTGTACAGCTAGATTTTGAGGAAATGGAAGTACAAGTCACATTGAAATCGGGAGAAAAGAAAATCTTCAAGGATGAAAGCCTACCCAGTGAGCCAGTTCAAGAAATGGACAGTATGGAGCACTTATCTGATGACAATATCTGTGGGGCTGTGTTGCTGCTAAACAGAATTGCTCTGACAGAACATGAGGACACTGTTGTTCCCCCTCCTGTCCAAGAACTTCTGGGTCAGTACAAAGATATTTTTGGAACTCCTACTGATTTACCTCCTAAGAGAACTGTTGATCATGCTATTCCCTTTGAACCTGGTGCAAAAGTTATAAACCAAAGGCCATACAGATTGCCTTATCACCAAAAGGAAGCTATGGAACAGATCATTCAGGAAATGATTAAAAACAAAGTGATCAGAGATAGTTCAAGTCCTTACTCCTCTCCTGCAATTTTGGTGAAAAAGAAAGACCTATCCTGGAGACTTTGCAATGATTTCAGAAAGGTCAATACTCAGACTATCAAAAACAAGTACCCCATCCCTGTTATTGAGGACTTGTTGGATGAACTGCATGGAGCCACTGTTTTCACTAAACTTGATCTCAGAAGTGGTTACCACCAGATAAGAATGAAGGAAGAGGATATTGAGAAAACTGCTTTTAGCACCCACTGTGGGAACTATGAATACTTGGTCATGCCTTTTGGTTTAACCAATGCTCCTGCAACTTTCCAAATGCTCATGAATACTATCCTAGCCAAGTATCTCAGAAAATTTGTACTAGTATTATTTGATGATATTTTGGTATTCAGTAAAAATATGAAGGAGCACATACTTCACTTGAAACAAGTATTTGAAACACTGAAGGAACACCAGCTGTACATCAAAGCAAGCAAATGTGTCTTTGCTCAGCCTCAGGTGGAGTACTTGGGACATGTTATTAGGGCTGATGGAGTTGCAACTGACCCAATCAAAATTCAGGCAGTGCAACAATGGCCAAAACCTGAAAATGTCACACAGCTAAGGAGTTTTTTAGGGTTGACAGGTTACTATAGAAGATTTGTGGAAAATTATGGACTCATTTGCAGGCCTCTGTTTAACTCCCTAAAAAAAGGCAGTTTCACTTGGGGGCAAGAGCAAGTTCAAGCTTTCAATACCCTGAAGAACAAAATGACACAAGCCCCAGTGTTGGCCCTACCAGACTTCTCAAAGCCTTTCATCTTGGAAACAGATGCTTGTGCCTATGGACTAGGTGCAGTTCTAATGCAAGAGGGGAGACCTATTTCCTTTTTCAGTAAAGCAATTGGTCCTAGAGCAGCTGCATATTCCACTTATGACAAGGAAGCTTTAGCAATTATTGAAGCTCTCAAGCACTGGAAACATTATTTTGTTGCATCCTCTCTCATCATCAGAACTGATCAACAGAGTTTAAAATATATACAAGAACAAAAACTCACTGAGGGAATTCAGCACAAGCTCCTGGTCAAACTTCTTGGCTACAATTACACTGTGGAGTACAAGCAGGGAAAGAAAAATAAAGTCGCTGATGCCCTTTCCAGGGTGCACCACAAAATTCATGCACTAATTGCTTCTTCTGTCAAACCTGCCTGGGTAACTGAAGTTGTTGGCAGCTACAAAAATGACCAAAGATGCAAGGATCTACTAGCTCAACTGATTGTAAATATTGATTCTGTGACCAACTACACTGTGCAACAGGGTGTGTTCAGATACAAAAACAGAATTGTCATTGGAGCTGGTAACACCATCAGAACTAAATTGCTAGCTGCTTTACATAGCTCTGAACTGGGTGGCCATTCAGGACACAGAGCTACATACCAAAGAGTTAAGCTTCTCTTCCACTGGCCTGGCATGAAGCAATTTGTTGTGGACTATATTAAACAATGCCCTACCTGTCAAATAAAAAAAGCAGAACACTGCAAGTACCCTGGGCTACTCCAACCTCTGCCAGTCCCAGACTTTGCCTGGTGCCACATAAGCATGGATTTTGCGGAAGGTCTCCCTACTTCTCACAACAAGAACATCATCTTGGTTGTGGTCGACAGATTCACTAAATACAGCCACTTTATCCCAATGAAACACCCCATTACAGCTAATATTGTAGCCAAGGCTTTCACTGACAACATCTTCAAACTCCATGGACTACCAGCTGTGATTGTCACTGACAGAGACAAAATCTTCACCAGCAAGCTTTGGCAGGACTTGTTCAAGAAGTTGGGAATCAAGTTACACATGAGCACTTCTTATCACCCTCAGTCTGATGGTCAGACAGAAAGAGTCAATCAGTGTCTTGAAAATTATCTCAGATGCATGGCCTTCATCCAACCACCAAAGTGGCTCAACTGGTTATCCCTAGTAGAATGGTGGTACAATACTAGCTACCACACAGCCCTCAAGCTCACCCCCTTCCAGGCCCTGTAT